TGTGTTTCAGTTAACTTGACAAAAGCAGTATCAGTGAAATCCGCTCAAGTGTCTGTCGAACAGTAAACACAGAGCTGTTGAAGCTGAAAGGATGAAAGACAGTCAAAGGGTAAGTGGCACACACAATGACAGTTCAGCCACTTGCCATGCTCTTGTACCATCTGTGGCGCTTCTATTTTACCTGAAACTTCACCTGCTTTCATCTTTTCAACCTCAGCTGACAGTTCAGCTGCTGATATATAAACTTTATGCTCAACTGCCTCCAAGGCTTAGATTTGAAACTAAAATTTTAAATGTTTTAGACTTAAAAAAAAAGTTGCCTTTGAGATACAAACGACACTTCAATCATTTTCAAGTGCTTCTTATTTAACTGCAATTCCTCATAGGCGTCTCAGAGAAAACATTTTACCACATTTTAACCTGTTTGCTTTGTCTGTACCAGCAATTTAATGTAAGAAAGAAATGCTTGCAGTATTTTTACGAGATTTCGTGCTTTGTAATTGTTTTTGAACCCTCTGAAACCAAAAAGGTTTTACTCCTGTTACATTTTTACTCACTGTGGGTTCATTTTTCACTGCGATGTAAAGTCCTGCACCTCTATGGAAACAGCACAACTATGGCTAGAAGTAGAAAGAAGCTGTCTTTTGTGCCACATGACACATTCAAAAAGACATAAATCAGAGAAACTTTTTTTTTTCTTTTCTTCTTTTCCAGAAAATGGATAAAACCTGCAATCAACATGCACAACATTTTTTCCAAGTGATCCCAAGTGCTACCAATACTGCAAAAAATACATATAGATATATATGTGAACAAAGGCTCGACTTAGAACCGTAGCGGTCAGGTTAGACGCTCCAGTGTAGTCCAAGAAACTGAATGAGAAAACGGAAGTCTTTCATGATTGAGTATGTTGAGTGGGCCGAACGCTAGCAAGGTCTCCTGACGCTAATGAATCCATTTTCAATTCAGCCTGCAACACTACAAAATGCAGACAAAGACAAGAGGCTGAATGCTTTCTAAGGTCACATTTTAATCTGCAGTATTATTCTCTACATTCAGCTGGCAGCCTCTCTCTCTTCACTCAGTGGTCTCGTTGGGTTTGAGGGTTAAACATCTCCTCAGGAGGTCGGGTACAGTCTCATAATAGACACTCCAAATAGGCAGTTACATAACGTCCAGCGAGTGTTCAATTGTTATATGAGCCCGGAAAATGCACCTGAATGTGGGTTGAAACTAAGCATGTCAAAACGGAAAATTGGATTCATCTAAAACACCTAAAATGTATAATGTGATGATTCAAAACAGAGAAAGCTTTTAAAAATGTTGTATAAACTCTTGACAGTTTGTCGTTTGCAAATGCAGGTTTTCCAAGACTAGATGACATCATACTTGACCTACTGATCACAGCAATGTATCATACTGCTTGTTTAATGTGTGTATTGATTTGTTTTATGTATTCACTGTATCATTTATCAGTCGCTGTTGACAGATTTCTTGGGAATAGGACTAAACTTGGCTTACAAGTTGTGCTAAAGCTGCAACATTTAGGTAACAAATGGTCACTAAACACAAAAAGGTATTTTGATAACTGATCATTTTGTTGTTGTTGTTTTAATCATTTTTTGATTGATGATGCTGCTAAGGATCGGTTAGGTAAAATGATATAAATTTGCCTCCTCCGTGGTTAAAAGTTGCTCATTCCTTTACATCTTCTACTTCTCTTTCACTGAAGCTGCTGCAGTTTAACCTCCTTCAACGCCCTCAGACGTCTTTCAGCCATTCAGAGTCACACCACCAGCAACATTCACTCATGTCGTCCATCAAAAGCCTTCAGCCCTTCAAGGCCACCCGGCAGCTTTCTGTCTGTCTCCTCCATCCTTCAGAGGCCGCTGACCTGGAGCTGAAGGAGAGGGACCTCTCAAGGCTCTGATGAAATACAGGAGGGTCGTGAACTGAGCGGCTCTCATAAAAAAGAAATGAAGGCATAGGAGTGACTGACGAGAAGTGATGAGGAGTCATTTTGCCTCCACCGTTTTACACTTGCTGACAAGATTATCAGCTCAGATGATCCCAAAGCTAATCTTTTCCATGAAGCAGGTTTTCCCAATATTATGAATAAAGATCAGCGTAGAAGCTGAGTGCCGCCTGTCTGAAGCTTCTGGTGAACGACAGTTTGCAGTTTGTTGGACTGTTTCAGGTTATAATAATCTGTTTACAGTTTTATGTCACGTAGATTTACGTACAAAGAGCAACCAGTCTTAACTGGAACTTCATCACATGGCTGACAATAAAGCAGCCTGACCCAATAATGCTTCCAATCGATCTCTGCTCTGGAGCTGAAGTGATTAATGAGTCAATTAATCGATCGAAAGGAAAATCACTCAGCAATTGCCTTGATAACCCATTCATCATGAAGCAATTTTCCAGGCACATATTGTAATTAATCCCAGGTTCCAGGTTCTTACTGATAGAAAATGTGGTTTCTTTGGGGTTTTGCATTGATAAAATAAGCAAGTGAAGGAGATTTAGGAACTTTGGGGAACTTTTAAATGGAAAATATTGTGCTTTATCACAGCTTTGTGACATTTTATTAAGTTATCTAAGCAATTAATTGTGAAAAAAACGTTAGTTCTAACCGTCCTGTTGGGTAGGGTAAATATAAAGCACTGTTTAGGTTTAACATTACTTCCACACATTTACAGGCCTATTCTGCATGATTTAGGCAGCTGTAGCCGTAAACCCCACTGTCCACTAATTGCAGGGTTAGTGGCTCAATACCCGGCCTTTCCACATGCCCAAGTTTCCTTGGGTAAGCATGCAGTTTCTCCAAGTGGCAGACGAGCACCTTGCATGGCAGCTCTGTAGTGTGTGTGTGTGTGTGTGTGTGTGTGTGAATGGGAGGATGAGAAACAATGTAAAGTGTTTTGATTACCGCTAAGGTATAAAAGCACCAGAAGTGCAGATCGGTTAAGTGCAAACCATTTTTGTCATAGTGTTTCACTTTGTTATAAGCTTTGCTAAAGTACTAAAATGATGAATAAATTGTATATACTTGTGTTTAAAATTGAAGTGGCTCACTTGTCGACAGATCAGTATCAAGCTCTAAAGTAGTGCGCGAAGCTACTTTGGTAAAAAAAAAATAGATTAAAAAAAACGTGTTAAATAATGCTACATTTTCTTTGTCTTGTCCTACAACTTTGCAGATTTGCTACATGCTATTTAAGCAGCAATTACTGCTCATATTGGTGTTATTAATGCGTGTTTCATGCCACAGTCCTTACTTCTGGTAGTTGACGAATAAGAAATAGTGGTTCTCTAGATCTTCAGTGTGTGTTGAAGCGTTGAAATGCTCACTGAACTTGGAAATGGGTTTTGATCCCCAGTCTGACTCCTGCCTGAACTATCTCTACCTGCTAATAAAGAAGCACTTAGCCTCACAAGTCCAGTTCAGTCACCATTGGATGAAGTTAAAGATTATATGTGTGTGTAGGAAAGAGTGTATAAATCTGTCTAAAAACACAAGTGAACTTTGAAGATCTTTCAGTTTCTTAAATGCTTTGCGGGGCTTTAGGGTTGTAAGGATGTGCTGAGCCCTCCATTCTTTTGTGGGACCTTATCATCCATTAAGATAGTGAATCATGTAATTAAAAAAAGAGAAAGCGGATATGACATTGAGGAGAAGCGACTTTAACACACAGCCCCTGCATTAGTGGAGAAGCAAGCGCGTAATACTGCCGGCGTCATGTTCACAACCTCTTGTCACTATTCACACACACACACACACACACACACACTATGGACTGATTATGAGGAGAAGCTCTCTGGAATCTCTCTCCTCCCTCATTTTTCTGAATAAACCCAGTCTGAAGCAATAATTTGTCAGACACTTCACAACATCTTGTGTCCCCCAAGGGCACCAAGAACTCCACCTTTATTCTCCCTTTCACCTAACAAAGTAACTCTCTTTGAACATACAGCGGCTTTTAATCCATCTTAGGCACATTGAGGCAAGTAATGTTCTTGCTCACATTCAGTTTCAAGTCTGAACCCTCAACATATGCACAGCCACCACAGAAAACAAGATCCGACAACAACATTTAACGCTCTGAACCCCAAAGCAATTTCTGGGCCATTTTTGCTTCTGTTCCATTTTTACTCACTCTGGGTTCATTTTTCACTGTAATATAAAGTCCTGCACCTCTTTGGAAACAGCACAGCCATGGCTAGAAGTCGAGAGAACTCAAAAATGTATTTTGTGCTGTACAACAAAGTCATAATGTCATCAATTATCCGCTCTATGTAAGCACAGTCTGCAGTTCAGCTGAAAAGTCATCAATTTTTTTTTTTACACTTTTCTTGGATCACGTGACTTTCGGTCACAGCTGAGTCTCTATAGGCCTCTCGATTGCACAAAGGATCACAGATTTTTTTATTTATTTTTTAACAGAATGTGCTGCAAATGGTTTAGTTTAGAAAGTCAGTTTGTCTACTCCAAGTCCAACCACTCAGAGTCAAACCCAGCACAGCAGTTTCTCAGGGTCACTCAGAAGTACCTACCCTGGAGTACTGTGCAGTTGAAAATCTGATGATTCTTTATTTTTTTAAAGATTCTGGCACTGATAAATAATGCAAATTTGGCAATTTTTAAAGATACCATGCCTTCCAAAATTGCAGCTGGGTTTTGGGATTCAGAGGGTTCAGGCCTTGTTCTACTCAGGGAGGTTGGAAGCAAATCAATCAAAATAGACAGGAGGGCACCTATACTCAAAGGAGAACTTAACTGAGCCCTTGCATATGGAATACATTTAACTGTACTGCTTATTCAATGGGACGCTACGATTTGGAGTTTATGAAAGCAGGCATTCATTCACTCAGTCTCCACTGTCCATCATCGCTCTGGACCATCTGTTTCATCAATCAGCGAGATTCTCCTTCAAAGCCCCATTGAATGCAAAGGTGGAGTGAGAAAACGCTACAGGAAGCTTTATTATGCTCCTTACCTCTTTTCCAGACAGGTAGTAGGCAGACAGCAGACCTCCGACAAACCTGATGTTCACCTCAAACACAGACACTTCGGCATTCTGCGGCGGAGACAAAAGAAAAGAAAGGTGAGATGACAAACAGCTGACGACTCATGAATACACATTTCTCCTCCTACTCACTGTGAGTTAGGAAAGCATAAAAACTCGACACTGAAACGTTCCTGGACTTTTATTTGGCCTCAGGAAGGATTAGACTGAGGTGGGCTGTTCACAGTCTAGACAGATATTTTTGGATTGGCGCAGCAAACAGTTGCATAAATTTAAATACCGGTTTGCTCGGTGCTGCTATGAATGACTGAGTAGCCAAATGAGTGTGTCAAGACTGAGCAAGATGAATAAAGAGCTGTTGAGGAAGTGGCTTATCTAGCAAAGTTTTTTTTTTTTTCTTTCTTTTTTGTTGCATAAATGCATCTGTTTAGGGTAATTTGAGGAGTGAATACCTATGCTGCGTGAGCAGCTTCAGAGGTTTTTAACAGTTACCTGGTTTTGCTCTGCATTGTTGTGTGCCTGAGCCTTTATCACATAACAAAAGATTCCTGATTGTATCTCCCTTTGTGGCAGTATCTGGGTTTTTATGGTCCACTGCTTTGGTTAAGATTGAAATGTCTCAAGAGATATCCGATGGGCTGTCGACAAACCTTGTACGTACTTTACCGCCAGCAAGCCACATAAGTAAACTCCATAGCTATCCAGTACATGGACTAACTTTAATTTCCACACACATTCACAAATTCTCTTCAAATAAATTGCACCAGTCCCTAACGCATGATCTAACACCACCATCAGGACCAGATACCTACATATGAAAGTCCCCTCAGCTTCAGCTGCTGTGCTTTATATTCAGTGCTAATTGGTAAAATGCTAGCATGCTAACACAATAAACTACGATGGGGGAAGTAATGGCAACATTCCACGGATCAGTCACAACATTAAAACTACTGACAGGTGGAGCAAACAACCTTCAGCAGCATTAACAGGACTGTCCCCTAAGTGCTTCTTTCAACCTTTCAGCCTCCATTGTGGTCTAGGATCTGACAGGTTTGAACGTTAACTCCAAGAGCTATAGTTAGTGCAGTATAGTTCAGGGGTATATGGTCAATTTCAAAAACTAACCGGTTAATAACTTGTGGTTCATTTTAGGATTTTTCAGGTTATTATATAGAAAGACAAACATTGCATCATTCTGACCTTTGATTCATGAGCAAAATTTTAAAAAGTTCTACACATAAATCTGCTAACAAACTACAGCCTCCCCAGCCCAGCAGATTTACTCCAGGCTGTAACAGAACAGTGACATCCCCTCCAAAGTCCAAAGATACCAAATACTGCTGTAAGTGACAAAGATAAAGGGTGCTGCATCTAAAAATACAATGCCTCTATTTCTAGACAGAGATAATGGGACGAATAATAACGAAAATTGTAACTTTGTAAAGCCATTTGTCTCAGTAGCAGAACAATGGAGCTTCATCTCTCTCACGTCAAGTCTTCATAAACAGATTCCTGAGTCAGATGAAGTTTTTGTGCTTGACTGACAGCTCTCATAAGTCAGTGCTGTCGACCAGAGATAGGACAATAGACTCTGTCCTGTGGAAAAACAAATTATATGCCAGACAAAATGTGTACTGTCATTTTTTCCCCCAGTCTGAGTGACTGATTGAGTAGGTAGATTGTGTAGCTAATTCGTCCTAATTAAAACTGAATTGCTTCTTCTACAACACTAAGGAGGCAGTAATGCAAAAGCACAATATTATTTCCTCCTACTGCCCGCTGTATATTAGCACCGGCAGTTTTATGTTGTGTTGTTTTATTCCAAAACGTATTGAAAGCAGTCATCCTGTAGTATCCAGTGTGACAGCCTTTAGCACCCATCACCGCTTTAAACCGTTGGACAATGACCCACTGAGTCAGCAGTTGTGTGACATTATCTCATTCCTGACAAAGCTGGCAGGCAAGAAGTCAGGATCCTGATGTTGCAACATTCAAGCCATTACAGACCACACAGGAAACTGACTAAGCATGGCCTTTTCCTAACAGAGAACTAATTAAGGGCTGCAGCAAGATGAGCCAATGAGATAATGTTCCATGTAGAACTCTGTGGATCAAAGTGTCTCTGGTTGTAAAATGCTAATGTATTGCTGGTCCCACTCCTTAAAATGACAAACAGATAACACGACCGTAGTCAAAGTGTTTGTAGCTCACAAGTTGCTGCAGAGAGAAGTCTCAGGAGTGGAATGAATATTTTTGCCCCTTACATACATTTTTAAAAGTTGCTTAGCTGCTTAAGTGAAAAAATATGTTAGTGACTTGTGTGGAAATGTCATGTTTTCTCAGATTTTGAGCCAGACAACGGACACTGCACAATGAGCCTATGAGTTCCCATTACTACCTTAAAATCCTACATTATTGCTTAATAAGCTTAATAAGCTTACAATAAGTGCATTAAGACAGGCAATGTCCAGACATGTGACCAACAAAAACAAACAAAGAAAACAGGAAAATAATGTAAAATGTTTCATACTGAATACCTCTGACAGTGTTTGCCGTGCTTATGTGGAATTACAAGAGTCACATAAACTGCCAGGGCTGCATTTTTAATGAGGTTTTAATCACAACTGTGATTTTGGCCTCCCACAAATAAATGAGCACGATCAACCATGGTAATGACATTTAAAATGCTCCATTAATGGAAAACTCTGCTAAAAGGAAACAGCCCATGTAGATAAAATCACTTGGTTTCAGCTAGAGTAAATAGCCTACCTAGCTTCTACCGAAACCAGCATTTGAGGTGTTTAGAGAATCCGTAGACTGTGTCTTTCAATAAGCAGACGTTCAGTAAATGAGGCATTTTGGGTCCAATTTTATTTTGATTCTGCCTCTAGGAGATGCTCTAAATTCAGGTGAAGCTTATTTTAAGCCCTTTTTTAATGCAAAGATTTCTACAAGCAAACATAGAAGTGGAAGCAATGATCTGCTCATTAAAAGATATTATGCTCCTTAAGTCAAATAATAATCATGATAACTAATTATGATCTCAAAATTGTTTTAAAAAAAATCTGATCATTTTGGCCATCCTTGTGTAGCCCTGTAAACTTCCTCCTACAATTTAATGCAGCTCTTTCTGTTATATGATTATCTCTGCTCCTCCTCTGAAGATTCATGGCGCTGCAGAGCGAATGACTAGAGGTGGGTGACAAATTAAAGGAAAAGACATGAACTTCCAGTCGACTGTTATGCTGCGGGAGACATTTTGCTGGCATAGTTTGACTCCATTTGTCTCTTTGGAAGGAAAGGTCACTGCAGCTCAATACAAAGTTGTTCTGAGTGATCACCTTTATGCTCTGGTGAAACATGGGATTGGTCTCTTTCAGGATGACAATGTTCTCATCCACAGGGCACGAGGGGTCGCTGAAAGGTTGGCTGAGTATAAAAATAATGTGAATCATATATTATGGCCTTCACAGTGGCCAGAGCTGAACCTAGTGGAACGCCTGTGGGACATTTTGGACGAATGTGTGGAATATCTTTTGGAAGAATGGTGTTGTTCAGTCCAGTAGACTTCCATATACTTAGATGATCCATAACAGAACCTGGTGAGAACCCATGCTGCACAGGGTAAACATGCAAACTCCATACAGAAAGATCCCAGCTGAGATTCCAACCCAGGACCTTCTAGCTGTGAGGCGACAGCCCTCTTATACCGTACTAAGACACTTGACATAGTTTTTTCCTTTAACTTTTCACCCACCTGTGTGTGGTGTGTAGGTCTGTTGTTGCGTCAGAGGGTACAAACCATTAGTCATAAACTCTCTATACCCAACAACCTTTTTCCATAGCAGTTCTAACAACTATAAAAACATGGCAAAATATATTTCATTGATTACCCTCTGCCCTCATTTTGCTCCGTGCTTGTGTTTAAATGCAATTCAAAGCTGCTGAGAACCTTTGTACTTAAAGTCAGTAGTACTGATGTTGCCAGAAGACATTGGCAAACTTTCCTGGCTAGCTTCCTCACTGCTGTATTCAGAAGTTTGAAGCAATCTTCATTATTTGTTTACAAAACCTTTGTCTTTCTCACTCTCTTTTGCTTCTTTGATGGTTTCTTTGTCTTAAAAGCAGGTAGGTGAAAGGCATCATTTTTAACTCTAACACCTCTTTTTGAGAAAGTATTTTTAATACTGTTTTTACTCCAGTTGTTGGAAGGTAATTGTTGTTCACAAAACACGTCAATCATTGTTTTTTTGGTTTCGCAATATTTGTCCCACTCTGTCATATGTGATAAACCTTCTTCTGTTTATGTAATATTTCAGAATATTTTCAGAAGAATGTATTTTTAGAAAACCTTCACAGATTCAAACTTGCATTAGCTAACTTGGCTGACATTTCCAACCCTTTTGAAAGGTACTTTCACAACAGCAGCCTGCCAGGTCTTTCTATTAAAAAGCACTTATTGTAAAGCACATGCACAGACTGTGGCGGATCAAAGCCAGCTTTACGTCTCAACAATATGCTCCTGCAGCAAATGAACAGCAAAACAATGGCTCTCCTGCTGATTCAATGCTGCTTGAGTGACAAGACAACTGCTGGCAAATACTGTAAATCAGGCAGGATTACGCACAAAGCAGTGCCACTGAAAATTCAGATGTGGCAACCCTTCACAAGTGTATGAGCTGAAACACCAAACATCTACGGTTTGGAGTACAGTACAGTGATGTGGATTAAAGCGCATCTGAAGGCATAATTACCAACAGTACTCGATGTTTATTTCATGTTTGGTGCACAAATGTTTAAGTGCCAGAACCACACCAGACTCCTCAAGTGATATCTGTAAACACAGCCACATTTGAAGTCACAAACACCCTCAAAGAGAAAGAATTTGTTTTTCGGTTTCTCTTTAATGAGGAGCTCTTACCAGGGATATTATAATGAGGATGGCTCTACAATAAAGGCAAACATCAAAGAAAAGGGGCAGAGTGTGTGTGTTTTACTGAGAGATATCTACATGTGCCCATGTCATTAAGCTCATCAGCCAAAGCAGGAAATTAGCACTGAAAGCAGAGTCCTATTACAGCTATGATGCCTTTAATTCGAACTTCCTTCCTTAGAAGAAATTCCCCATGAAAGATTTTACAGAGCTCCAGACTGAAAGCATTTTTCTCTTGTGTGCAAGTAAAAATTCTGTGTGTTCGCATTTGTGTGACTGCACGATGATCTTTAGGCTATTTTGATGCCCGTCCGGCCAACAGGGTTACTGTGTTTGCCACTGTGGCTGAAAGGAGCACTTTTCTTCTTCACTCACTCACTCAGTCAGTCGTCCCTACCTGCCTGACACTGAAACAATCCATTTACCAAGTTATCGTGTTCCACGGATGAAGAAACAAAATGAGGAGAGTAAGGAGGAGGCTGTGGAGAGGAAAAGATTGTGACTCAGACACACCTGATGATGACAGCGCTTGTTGCAGGGAGAAACTAACGGTAACGCTGAAGAAGAAAAAGTGCTACATTCAAACACAATGGCTAATGCAGGGCCAGGGCTTCAAAATTAAACAAATATTACAATGTTGGCTTCCACAAATATATGAATATGAACAACTGAGATATTGGCACTGAAAATGCATGACTGCCCATAAAAAGAGGCTCATGCAGATAAAACCTTCTTAAAGTGTTTGTGCTGTAGTAACTGAGTGGGGAGACGAGAGGCTTCTGTGTGCAGTGGACTAGCTAGCGTCTACCGAAGCCTGGATGTGACGCATTTAGCAACATGCACATGTTAGTGTCTGGAAATTGATCACCTTTTGATAAGATGTTCAGGAAGTAAAAAGTTTAGCCTGTGTCTAGTTTACAGGAGTGACAAAATAGCCGTATTTTGCATATCGTTATTTTGTAAATACCAAGTCTTTTGGCGGCGCGCATGGACGCAGCAGCCCCTTCAGGACACAGCGAGAGTGAACTTTTAGTGTCTTATCCCAGACGGGATAAGACACTAAACTTGCTGGTTTAATAATCCTGAAGAAACGCTCTCTCATCTTGCTTGTACTGCTGTGTATGTACAGCAAAAATGACAATAAACCTGATTTGATTTGAGTCACTGTAAATGATTACATTAGTGCAAACCTGAGCCTATAGCATGCTGTAATTGGGACAAAACCAAAGCATGTGCTTGTGCAACCAAATGGGAAAGTTGGTGGCTACCAGTCTGAGCCCAGTTTTGTGTAAGACAGTTTGCTCAGTTTCCACAGTGTAGTATGTTATTCTTGAAAATAACACGACTACAATAAATCAAAGGCCCTTCTATACGTGGTAATAAGTGCTGTATCAACAGAATTTTAATCTGATGAATCAATATTCCTAAATTAACCATTAAGATGCTGTGTACCTGCTTTCAACTTTGAGGGAACTGAAGATTAACGCGGAATTGTGTAAATATATGTGTTTTATGTATGTAAACACTAAGTAATTCTGTAAAGTTCTGTTCTAACACTAACATTTTGGATCCATTAGAAATCTCAATTTTATGTTTTATTGATAACATTAATTGAACAGAAGTTGGACTCCTGTGGATTTCCTGTGGACACACACAACATTTGTCATTTGCTTATGTTTTTGCGACTGACTCATCATCTAAATCATCAAAAGTGCTTCCATCAATTCATTTTAACCATCTTGGAAAAATGGTCTCAGTAAGTGAACTATGACTCATTCCCAGCAGAGTCATGTAGAAGCCTGGATAAGTGTTTCAGACAATACGATCTTCCAAGCATCAGAAAATTACATTAAGTTTTATATCATGCCATTAAGGATACGTTTACAACATTAGAGTCCCTGCAATTTTTGGCTTGTTACGTTTATGATATTAAGCCTTGATTGCACTACTCATCATGAGTTTAATGCTTGATTTCAGCACAAGCTGTCGGGCTAAAAAACAAAAGAGGGGTGATATTTGGATTTTCAAAAATGCAAAGAATCACTTCAAACACATGTTTACCTTTTTGGGTTACTTTTTAAAATAACTGCAATGTTTTACTGTCATTAAAACTGTTCCTCAATATTTTCATGACTTTTTATCAAACATGAACACATGAAAACCTTCGTGGAACAACATCTAAGAGTGGACCAGTGTGTCTGGTTGTTTAGAAGAAACAAAAATGAAATGTAAAAAATATTTGAAGATATTTTTTCTTAATATAACTGCAAATCCGTATTTAATTTTACTTTTTGTTCAATTTTTTTCTTAAACGCCAAGGGTGAACCGACCACCCAGTCCAATGTCTGCCTGGAGACTTCCATAGCCTCCAATGAATATATATGTTAACACAAATGCAGAGATGCTCAGCCTTTCCTTGTTTAAAAAAAATACAACTGAAAAGTTTAAACATTTAAACATCTAATTATTACCCAAATATTCTGAAAGTAACCGAGCTACTCAATAAAGTAGTTTTATTTTCAAATCCTTAAATGGCATGGCTGACGTGGCCCATGCACTAATATCATACACCTATCAAGAACTGTAGCATCAGCAACAACATGGTGTATTTCACAGATCTGGATACCCAGTGATGTTTTCATTTCCCATTAGGTGCCTTTACATTTAGCTGTGTTCCTATCACAGTAGTATGAACTAAGATGAGTGTGAATTTAGAATTGTGCACTCACACACCATGGCCACCAAAAATCTTACGTTATTACAATTTACCGAATCAAACCTACATTTGGTGAAAGTCAGTGAGACATGTCCTCGCTCATTTTGTCATGTGTTGGCTTTAAGTGTATTTACTCAGACTATTTCATACATTACTTCATGTACATAAAGACTACAAGAACAGCCATTAAAGGTTCTTATAAAATGGCTCAGATGAGTTTCAAGCTCTCTCTGAAAAGCAGCATTGTGTGATCTATGTAAAGACACATTTTTCTCTATTTGCTAAGCTTACAGTAGAACTTTATGACTCCGAGGAGTCCTTTGTAAAAGAATATGTCCTTGGAAAGGAGCTTTCGAGTTTAAGTGTCTCTTTGTGCTATCCCAGTGAAGAACTAATCCTGTAGCTGTGGGTGTTGTGGATTGAAAGCTTTTTGATTCTCAATGATGGCAGGATGTAGCACTGATCACATCTGCATTTCACACACACGTGCACACACACACAACAATCCAAGTCTAAAGTATGATTCATCTTACCTTCACTAAAAGATTGCTATACACATTTTTTCCTCGTGTATTACTTGCATCATGTGATATTGACCGTAAACCCACCTTCTCAAACTGAAGGCAGATTTTATTATCACTCCTGTGTGTCTGTCAGCAACATGTCTCAACATGTGAACGGATTTGGCTGAAACTCAGCTGACAGGTGGTGATCTAAATATGGGATTTCTGCCAACAGATGACTTTCATTGTTGAACTGTTGCTGTATTATTTGTTGCATTCAGGAAGTCGGCAGCATTTTTTTCACTTGCTGTTAGTAGGATACTCAAATACAGATGGCAAACTGAAAAAGATTTATTCAAAGTGCCATTCAAAAAAGTAAAGATCATCTGTCCTTCTAGTTAACCCTCTGAACTCCAAAGTCACGAGCACTAGGTTTGAAAAGCATGTCATCTTTCAAAAAATGGCAAAACTACAGGAATTATCAGAGCGAGAGACTGTTAAAACAGAATCGGTGTATTTTCAACTTTTCGACAGTCCTTAAACTAATCATATGTCACATACAGTTATGTTGGTAAAATTAACTACACCTATACTCACTAAAATCATTTCTTTATTCATGTCTGGGAAGATTCTCAGTCATCCAGGTCATGGTTATTCTCGTAGATTAATCATAGCATGGACTAGCTTGAGTTTCTTGAATTCCTTCCTTTATACATGTTGCATTCAAAAAATTACAAAAATGAACAACCAGATTATGTAAAAAAATAAAAATAAAAATAATAATAAATCTGTTCTCGGCACAAGTGGGAAGCTGGAAGTAACTCAGCAGGGGCTTTTTGGCTGAACTGCAGGCTGTGTTTACACAGAGCAGAGCGAAGACAAGTATGGAAAGTAATTAGAGATACTGAGAGGAAAATAAACACACTTGATCAATAAAATAAAAGCGGTATGGGGTAAATAGTGGACCACTTCGTCCACACATTGTTGGAATAGACATTCAGCATGGTGAAATATCTTTCTAGAGTTAATATGCAGAGAAGTGTGAAAGATGCAAATATCTATAGCACGGGGTATTTTTAACATCTGTGGGAACAAAAACAGGTTTGTATCAATTTTTGTAAATGATGGAAAAAATTAACTTCTGTTTTTCATTGTAAATTTGTTATGTTGCAACAAAAAACACTTTTGAGTTCTCTTTACTTCTAGCCAGGGTTGTGCTGTTTCCATAAAGGTGCAGGACTGAATAGGACTTAATGTTGGATTCAAATATGAGCCCACAGTGAGTAAAAATGTGACCGAAACAAAAAACACCAAGAAACTACTCGGGGTTCAGAGGGTTATGTAACTTCGTAGCTGATATTTTTTTGCTAGTTTTGTTTTGTTCTATTTCACCTCCATAGTTATTTGGATGTCAGATACTTTTAAAAAAAAATCTTATTCACATATATTATAAATTAGTTATTATGCAAATTTAAAGGTGTTTGTTCTTTCACATGAAAAGACTGTCAATAAATGGAAGCCTGTCTTTGAGGCTTCCTTCTACCATTTAAGGTAAGTAATTAAAATCTTAATTCACTGAATTATGAACACATACACACACACACACACACACACACACACGTATCCTTACCACATTGAAGTCAAGGTTCTTCTCAACCCAGTCAGTAGCAGCATCAAACTCCTCAAACATTTCCATGATATAGAGGGTATCCAGAGCATCCACTATTGTCGCTCCCTTTATACTGCCTAAAAGAAACACAGACAAAAATGACGGTAGATTAGATCAGACATTCTTCCAGTTTGCTGTCTTCCATTGTGTGTTTTACAGATAATTTATCTGCTAAAAACAGAAGAAAGCCAGGGAGGAAGCTGAATAAAAAAAACCCTTAAGTTTAACCTTTTCAAACAACTAAAACACTCCCATGAAGTTTCTTTCAAATGCTAAAAGCTTGTTAGTCAGCGTGCTATTCCTTTTAAAAGTATGAATGACAACAGGTGTTGGTGGCAGACTCGCTAAAAAAGGACTGAATAAACAGCAGAAGTTAAGAGTTACGTTTGGAGGTTGAATAAATTATTTTGCTCGACAGATGGTGAGAGGTAGCGATTATCGGCGCTGATGAATCGTCAGGAGTATTGCTCATCTCTACTGATTAGCCTCATAGCAGGAGGGAAGACACACAGAGACACACAAACCATCATTTTAGCGCTGTCATTACCCAAACCCCCTAACAAATCTAACACCACTCCAACACCTTACTCTGTGTATGTGGCAGGGAGTTCAATAAATCATTAGGCATGCAGAGCAGAGTCCTCAGCGAACCTTTTAGTCCTCCCATACTCGTTATAAACACAAGACCTCATATGTAGGAGCTATCTGACCACTTAGAGGTTAGAAAGAAAAAGGCAAAAGATGGTGCCGGAGGATGGGTGGGGGCGAGGGGAAAAGGAACAAGGCAATAAGTTAGACAGAGAGAGCCGAAATGAAAACATTAATACATCAGCGTCAGGAGGCCGACCTACAGAGAGAGGGGCAGGGAGTAGAGGTAGAGAGGAAAACAGCGAGAAGGAAAAATGCTGAAATAATAATAAGGACAGAAAAACAGTCCAAGCCATTGGAGAAAAGGTTCGCGAATACTGTGGTTACAAAGTGGAGTCAAGATGAAAGCTGGAAAGCTGCTGGTTTGTTATTGTGTGGATCTTTTGGTTCGTGTCCCTCTGTGAGCGGTGGGACGATTCAAAAGCAGCTAAGAGCTTTCCATTAGACACAATGCTGAATCATCAGCTGGAGCTGCAGAGCGACTCTTGACCGTCAGAGCTAGCGCTGTGCTCACTCTCTGACATGGAAATATAAAGAGTATGTTATTATATTCTATTTCTGACAACTGTTAGTAGTTGTGAACATGATTTTGAGTAGAAACATGAGACACTTGTGTGAATAATACTTCCGGATAAACATGTTAACAGAACACACTCATGACGTTTCTATTTCTAGATATATCAAAGCTCTTGAAGGAAAAATATATGTCCAAAACAGCTTTGCTACAAATATATGTATGTTTATTTATATCCATATATATGTAAAGGGACATTGAGCCTTGGCAGACACGGCTGGTATTAAAAGTACTGTTTTAAGAAACATGCACTGGTATGATTCCACTTCTGTGTGTTAAGTACAGAGCTACAACCAGAACAACTGCAATTAGCTTCACCATAAAGACTTGAACCTACGACAGCGCCAGGCTGGCAGTGTCTAAAGTTCAAGGAAAAAGTTCAGCTGCAGAGTTATCACAGTGAGGATGCCAGTTTTGTGCCTGGAGAGGGGCCTATATAAAAACATGTCATTACCGATTATATCTATGAACTCTGTACCGTACTACAAATCAGATCCGACTTAAGCACTGCCCTTTAGAGGTGTTTTCAAGCGAACTTTTCAAAGTTACTGCCTTCTGTCTTCATGGTAAGTCTTCCAAGATGAAGCAAGTAAACTGTATGAGCAGAGTGTTTATCATTAGAAGAAGACAAAGATGATGAAAATGAAAATGATGAAGAAGAAGATAAAGATGAAGCAGAAGAGGCAGAAAGACAAAGAAGACAAAGAAGTAGAAGGCGACAGAGGTAGACAAAGAGAATAACAGATGAACATAATAAGGAAGTAAATGGAGAATCACATGTATAGGGCATGACGTCAATATCAAAACTGGAACAAACGTGTAACAAAAGGTTAACACCAAACCGATGAACTAGTGCCGATCTAGCAACAATTTCCATGTTTTGTGAAACTCTGACCCACGTTAAAGAGGCCGTATGTAACTAGAGGTGTCAGCAGATCCGGTTACTGCTGTAGACACTTGTCTTTCCTGTTTTTCATCCATCTCTTCGGTCCATTGAAGCCTCCAGAGCGACAAAGAAAGGACAAGACACTTTCCTACCATCCATTGTCTTGTCACTGTGCTTCCTTCCCCTTCACTGATCTTCCTGCATCTGTCTGTGTGTGATGTGTGATACAGATGGTCAACGAGTGACTGGAATACTAATGCTAAATGTAAATAAAAGAAAAAAGGTCTGTGCGCAAAGTATAGGTTTGCAGAAAGCAATGGCATTTGTACTTTGGAAGAGGAAAGGATGCCCGGAGATCTGAACAAACACAGACATGTTGATTATGGACAGGCCTGGGCGGTAATATTCGGGCTGTAGTTGACCGAAGAGAATCGTGGTTGGCCCAATTTATGACTACTCTTCAACCAGACGATTGATGGCAGAAAAACAACATGCATGTTATCTGTAGATTCATTGAGTGCTCTCTACCTGCTAGCCTTGTGAACCTAAATAAATAAGAAATAAACATAAAAGGCTGGTATTTGCAGGATGTTATTGCTTTTCAAATTAATTATTCTTTACTAAAATATAAACAGCAGACTGAGCAAAACAGCTTCTGATCGTATTGATATGATTTCTGAAACTATATCAAAGGAGGAATATAACACGGACAAGTTAGCACACCGTTTTAGATGATCTGCCATGTTGGGTTTTGAGCTGTGATATGACAACTTGACTTTAAAGCCATTGGTTTTAAAGAGATACAGCCACACTGATGACTTCTTTGACATGGTGTGAATTAATCTGGAGCCGCTAAAAGGAAGTAAAAGTTAAATAAGTAAAACTATAAAATTGCAGAGGTGCTCACAAGTGGTCTGTTTCACTAGTTGCCAAAAATAACGAATTAGTTCTGGAAGGCTGTTGATGTCTTTTCTTAGTCATACATAGCAATTAAAAAAAATAAATGTTGGTTGGTCAAAACAAATGTTCTGAAGGTGTCACCTTGGGAAAACGGTGATTGACATTTTTTTAAATTATTTTTGAGATTTTATACTAAATGATTACGAACATAACGAGCAGACAGATACATAATAAAAAATAACTGCACATTGTGGCGCTAGATTTTCTGGTTCCTCATTGCAGAGACGATACTAATTTTGTGGAAAAAAAGCTCTGTGATGTTAGCTAAACAGCTTGTCCAGGGCCATGATGGCACAGTAAAGCAAGAATCTGCTAAAGTCAGCTTGTAACCAGATCCAGGATTTGTGTCAATGTCCAGATGGGAGGACTATAAAAAAAACAAAACAAAATGGGATTCAGCTGAGGCTTGCGAGGTTGAGAGAGCAAACTTTGATGATCTTGGAGGTGATGTATGTGCTGCTGAGGATTTTGTTTCTGTTGGCGACTGGGAGCATGGTGAGACAGCAGATGGCTCAGCAGAGGGCAGTGTCTATGATGCTTCTGTAAAGCATGAGCAGTGGTGGAGGAGGATAAACATGATGATGCTTCTATAAAGACGGAGCAGTAGGGGAGGGAAGACTTTATGCTATTTGCTGTAGGCGGTGGGTTTGTCACAGTGGGAGAATTCTTACATTAGTAAAAAATTATTTTCACAAATCCACAAACGAGTGTTAAAACTCAAAGCAACAGGCCCAGTCTCCGTCTCCGTTTCTAGAAACAGAAAAATATGTTGGAGATCAGAACAATATTTTTATGCTGGAAGCTCATTTCAAGAGTTTCTCTTACAGTATTGCTGGCCGGCAGGGTCTGTCTCCTTGACTCCATCCATTCATTTCTGATGAAAGACTATTGTTTACTTTGTTTCCCTGCAAGTGCTGCCAGTGTGATCGCATACCTTGGGGATATCACTCTTTCTTTGGCTTTGTCATTTATTAGGGCTGCATGCCAGCGGTAAAGCTTAAGAATGGAATAGGTCTTTAAGAGAGTGGTTGAAAAACAAAATGGATTGCTCAAAGAAAGCAAGGCTATCCTGTTTTTAATATCACCACAATCTGTGACAAGACTAGACGACATGCAAACAAGGGTGCGTCAACATTTTCTCCAAGTGTTGCCCAAAGCAAGTTTTTCTTGTTTTGAACTGATGGAAGGCTGGCTCACATTCTGTTTTTGGTATTTTCATTCACTATGTTTCCATAACACATTTTGAAGTGTCCAATAAGAGAAAGTAGATGGAAACAGCTACAATCAGAAAACAACTTTAACTGATTACTTTTATAGTTCCTTGAAGGGATTTCATGAATTAAAAAGGAAGAGGTAATGCACTTCATGGGTGATTGAAACACTTCTTGATGTAGCAAACTTCTAACTCACATTACAGATCAGTTGTTTCCGCTCCTTTCATTGCCTGTGTCTCTGAACCAGGTCACATTTGGAATGCAAATTTCACAACATTTTTATTAATCAATAATCAATCAATCATGAAAATAAATAAAGTACATTGGACCTTAATCATGTGCTGATAGGAGTTTGTTTAACCACAAACACGTGACTCTTCCCGCAAAAGCAAGTCAGTCACGTTGGCCACGAGGCTGGAGAAATGCTATCCTTGTAGAATCCGACTCATTTTGAATTGTCAGGCTTTGGCTGGAAGCAATCCACCATTATAGGAGTCAATAGCTGACATGAAAGAGTAATTGTAATTTGCGGAGACTTCTATCCATTTTCTATCTCTTAGATGGCCAAAGTTCTTTTTTTTTTTTCATCTTCTACTTAGCCCCACTGTTATATCCCCACTTTTTGATGGTACTATGCAGTCTAGTTTATTAACCCCAAAGCAATTAATGGAAATCAGCATGTTACTTCTTTGTTTGTTTTTTTTGTTGTTGTTTTTTGGCCTAACATTTTCTTGACAACTCTATGGAAACAGCCATTGACAGACTCATGAGGGACAGAAAAAAAAAGGATCAGAA